AGCAGTCCAGTATAAGAATCCAGTATAAGTATAAGAATGACTGACAGACAGACAGACCAGGAGACTTACCCGCCATACTCCGAGACCAGAGACTTTTTAAATTGATCATGTTTAAATCGAAACTGGAACGCAATTTTGGCATTCCTGGCCTCAAATCTATCAATACCCTCCGAGGGAAACTTGTAAAAGTCAAGGACAGAACATAGAAAAGTAGAACCTCACATGATGTTGTTTATGCGATTACACTTTTTTTTATAGGCCTATATAAAAGTACCGTACATTTGAACACTGAGGCTCAAATTGCTTAAAAATTAAGAACAAAATAAGAACAAATTGAGGCTGAGGTAAAATGCCAAATGAGATTTTTATTTTTAAAAAAATAAAAAACCAAGAACAACAAATTATGTATGTACCATGTACAGTAAGTATAACTATGCAATACCCTCTATAACCCCGTTCCGCAACCTTTTTAGCCCACGACCTAAATTATATGTCAAGCACTCTGACGCCGCGACCCATCGAACCCGAAGTGATTAAAACGTCTGTCGTTTTATACGCGCGAGGGATAGGGGAAGGGAAGAGCCACCCACGACCCATCAATTTTTTTAGCGACCCAACATTGGGTCGCGACCCATAAGTTGCGGAACGGTACTATAATAATACAGTACAATAGGTGTACCTCCTGCCATTTGGGGCCATTTTTACCGGGTCATTTTTTTCTGGGGCAATTTTTTCCAGGGCAATTTTTTCCGAGCCACATTTAACTACATTTCTGTACAGTGTATACTACTGTACAATAATAAATTTTTTATGTTTCAAAAGAAAGTGTGTTAATAAGAACAAAATAAGAACATTTTGAGTCTGAAATCGACCAAAAAAAGTAAGAACAGTGAGCCTGGGAAAAATTTGACTTGTTCTTATAATGTAAAAATTAAAAAAGTGTAAGTGCTCATCACCAGGTTGCAGTGAAACGTACATATAGGGGAGACACAGCAAGCTCTACGAGCCAGAATCAACCAACATCGCAAGTGGATAGAAAGACGGGTCAAACAAGCGATTTGGGAGAGGGCAGAGAACCCCAGCTTGAACCGAAAAGGAGTTTAGCACTCCGTTTTCAACTACCTTGTATGAAAAAGGGGCATTTGGTGGGAATTGAACCGGCAATCTTTCGGAAACAACAGGTTTCCAGGTCGTGCTTCATGATATTCCCACGGTGATTTGCTTGTACGTTGAACTTTTACCAAGGTGGATGGTGTCAGTAAGTGTAATGTTAAGGATAAGATAAGATAACACATTTTTTTTTTTGCGATCGTCATCTCATCACGAAAGTCGCGAAAATTAAGGGCGCACCAAAAAAGGGGGCTTTACAGTAATTATTTCACATTTAAACGTAAATAGTCTCCCTCTACACTTTGAAGAACTTCAACAAATTTTGAACAAAAATAACATAAATATAATTGGTTTGAGTGAAAGATTTTTAAACGAATCCATTGTAAATTCAGAAATCAAAACTGATGACTACATTCTCTATAAAAAAGATAGACCTGATGAAAAAATTAAAATACCGTACTCGCGCGAATAATAAACGCCCCGTTTGAATAAGCGCCCCTCTTGAATAGGCCGCCCCTCCTAACGAATGTGAAAATGTTATTAAGCGCCCCTCGATCCCTAAAAAATGCAATCATACAGTACAGTACAATACAGTACATCACCAACTTAATTTTCAAATCAACTATTGACATCTACCATTGTCGGTCGGTCAGTCCATCTATCCATCTGTCGGTGTATCAGTCTCCCTTAAGTTTAACATGGTTTTTAGTTTTGGTGCATTTTTAGAATCCCGTTCTTTTTTTTTTCTACCCTTTTTGGATTTAGAACTACAGTATTTAATATAAAAAAATTAAAATACTGTATGGCCATTTTCAGCCAACAAAAATCAACTGACCTCATCACTCTCGTATCTAAGCAAGAAACCCTGCAATGATCCTGGCAGATGGCCAACACGCTTACGCCACCACTAATTTCATCTGCTGTTGTGTAAATACCCCCAAAATTACCTTTTCAAAAAGTACCCCTTGAATTTTTGAATTTCGGAGAAGCACCCCTTAAATTTTCATCTATTTCCATAAGCCCCCCCCCCTCGCCCTCATTTTCCACTCTGTTTTCATAAGCCCCCCCGTTTGATTGGCCGAGCAGTTAAGTCAGGGGAACCGTAACCTTCAGCTCTAATATCGGCGCTGGTTCGGGTGGTGGAACAAGTCTTCTCGGATAAGGACTTTAAACTGTAGGCCCAGTGTACGCATTTGGCTCGTGTGCACTTTAAAGAACCCGGTACATC